AATGCTGGGCCAGGGGCCCTTGCACAGTGTATAACGTGCAATCACACACAACCACTCTGGCGCAAAATATAGAGCACATCACTCAGTAGGTGCTCAATAAACACTCACTGAGATGATGATTTCTGTTCCTCTGCTCCTTATACCTCATTCTGGGTCCAGAGACACGTGGGCTTCACAGATGATCCCAGGAAGGGCTCCGCCCCAGGCTGAGAGCACCCCCTTCATTCCCTTCCCCACCCCCAGACAACACTCAGGACTCACCCCGGGCAAGGTCTTCTGTTCGTGCAGGGCAGTCTGAGCTTTGATGGCAGAATCCCTGGCACAGTAGGTGAGAAAGGCACAGCCTGCAGGGGAGAGAAACGGGTGTTTAAGAGAAGTGGATGCTTGTCCATGTGTGTGCACAGCAGCAGATTCACAACAGCCAAAAGGTGGGAGCAGCCCAAGAGTCCATCCACAGTTAAACGGATAAACACAACATGGTCCATCCACACCATGGAATATGATTCAGCCTTAAAAAGGAACGGAATTCTGACACGTGCTACAACCCATGAACCTTGAAGGACTTTGATGAACCTTGGTGAACCTCGAGGACACAGTGCTCAGTGAAATAAGCCAGTCACACAAGGACAAACACTGTGTGATCCACTCACAGGAGGTCCCTAGAGCTGTCAGATCCACAGAGACAGAAAGTAGAATGGGGGGTGCCAGGGGCTGGGGAGGGAGATGGAGTGAGTGTTTAATGGGGACAGAGCTTCAGTTCGGCAAGATGAGAAAGTTCTGGAGATGATGGTGGTGATGGCTGCACAACAGTGTGAATGTATTTAAACATTTCTGAACTGTACACTTTAAAAAGATGGCAAATTTTATGTTGTGTGTATTTTACTACAATTAGAAATAAAAATAGGGCCGGCCCGGTGGCACACTGGAGAGTGCGCTGCTTGGGAGTGTGACGGCGCTCCCGCCGAGGGTTCGGATCCCATGTGGAGACCGGTTCCCGNGTCAAGGGTTAAGATCCCCTTACCGGTCATCTTTAAAAAAAAAAAGAAAGAAAGAAAGAAACACGCACTGCCCCTCTCAGGCCTCAGTTTCCCCCATCTGCGAGGATGAACCAATGGGGGGCAGAGCTGGAAGGGATGTGGCAGGGTG